GCGGCCCCTCTCCAGGCCCCGTCCCTGGCAGCGGCCTCGCCGGCAGCGGAGCCTCAGGAGCTGACGACGTGCCCCGACCAGGTCTCGTGCTTGGTCCCGGGAGCCAGGTGGGTGATCACCACCTCCACCGCCTGCAGCTTCTCATTCTTTGGAGGGATGGTGCACATCTTGTAGGTCACCTCATCGCCGGCCACTGGCACATACTCGCCTTCAATACTGCGGAGGGAAAGCTTCAGTTAAGGGTAAATCACATAAACACTCTTACTCTTTTGCAGCTTATTTTAATTTTTAGCATAACAATTATCATAGGTGCTCGAGATACTTCATGGTGGTTGTTTTTTAAGAGAGCCCATCATCCACCAAAGCTTGAGGTTGATTTTTGGTTGCCTTGCAGCAAAATCCTATGAAAACAATTTAAACACCACCACCCCCTAACACAAAGGAACAAGAAAAAAACCACAACCCCCCTCGCCCCCCCCCACCCCCCAAAATAATATGCCTTAAAACAAGCAGGCGAGCCCGGTCCCGGGCAGCATCGCTGTGAACCATGCAACAACACCAACACCATCCCACTCGCCGGCAGCACTAGAGGGCAGGGCTGACACTGCTTGGCACTTTCTGGTTTTCTTCAACTATAGGACGTTGATCTTCCCCCCGCCATGCTTTTGAAGTTTGGGGTTTGTCCCTGTTTTTTAAAGAAGGATTGTACCGTGCCAGTCATTGATTTTACCTTTCGGTTACTCCACCATAACACAGTTTATCTGAGGTATGAAAAAAAATAAAGAGCCCAAGTAAGGCACAGTGCGGAATACTTCAAAATTACTTGCTGCGAGAAAGGAGAGTCCTGTGACCCCGACATGCCACACCACAGACACTCTCCCCGCACCCAGCACCCGGGAGGATCCAAGAGCCGTTCGCTCCTGCCCGGCTCTACCAGCGTGAGGACGCGGGATGCAGGAGGGCTCACACCGGCACTCATTACCGCATGCGAGCCCTTGCCTGGAAACAGTGGGGAATGGCAAAAGGGCTGTCGCCTTCTGTCCAGAACTACATACCCATGAAACAGGGAACTGCAACGGGTAGCAGCCCTCCTCGCTTCCACCGCTGCGCGCAAGATCAGAGCTTTTTAACGAAAATCCCAGCAGGTGCCAGTGAAGACAGGCAGAGATCGTCCAGGCTGCACCGCTGTGATTCTGACAGCAGAAAGGACGCTACCTCATCCTTCTTCAAACAGACTTACACGACCCCACGCTCAGGTTCCCTTCCCTGATAACCCAGGCTCTAGATTTCTCGTCGTTTGAGGGTTTTTTCAGTGTTTCTCAGCAGCATCTGTATTTGTGAGCAGATAAGCACCACTGGGTTTATCCGCCTTCAGCACACCGGGAGCACACTCGCACCACCCCGAAGTTTTACCCCATAAACGTTTCTGCTATTGCAGGGACGTAAGATTTTCGCATCCACTCTCATCTTGTGACCCCTTCTTGTTACGGCTTTTCTACTGCAGGAAAGACGGGCAGGACCGTCTTTCTGGTAATGCAGGTTGGCAGGGACGAGGTAGCAGAAAGAAGTCCCAAGGCCATCACAAGGGACTTCAGGGCACTGGGGCGACTGGTTGAGGGATCAGGGGCGCAGGTGGTGTTTTCCTCCATCCCATCAGTGGCAGGGAACAGCACTGAAAGGGGCAGGAAAACTCACCTGGTTAACAGGTGGCTCAGGGACTGGTGCCATCTGTCAAATTTTGGCTTCTTTGATCATGGGGAGGTATACACAGCACCGGGCCTGCTGGCAACAAGTGGAGCTCAGCTATCTCAAAGGGGAAAAAGAATTCTTGGCCACGAGCTGGCAGGGCTCATTGAGAGGGCTTTAAACTAGGTTCGAAGGGGGAGGGGGACATCGCCCACCTCACTAGGGATGAACCCAGGCTTGGCGTGCCAGGATCAGGGGTGAGATTGACAGCCCAGCTCAAGTGTGTCTATACCAACGCACGTAGCATGGGCAACATGAGGAGTTGGAAGCCATTATACAGCAGGACGGCTATGACCTGGTCGCCATCACAGAAACATGGTGGGACAACTCGCATGACTGGCATGCTGTCATGGATGGCTACAGACTCTTTAGGAAAGACAGGCCAACAAGGAGAGGTGGGGGAGTTGCTCTGTATGTGAGGGAGCAACTGGAATGCATTGAGCTTGGCCTGGGGGCAAATGAGGAAC